TTTATTGAAAATCTTATTTTTAATCCATCTACTTCATAATTAATAGGGGTAAAATGACAAACTCGGTATGTCAATAATTAATTTCTTAATGGGTGTGTTAATTCAAAAGTAGACGAGTAATGAGAAATAAAGGGAGTATTTAGAAGTGATGTTAAACAAAATGCATCTCCTTATTCTTCATATTCTCTTTTAAAAGAAGTAGAAGACATTTATCTGTTTCATGATTTATTTATTTTATTTTTACATTTCGTGCTCAATCGTGTTTTGGTAAGTGTATTATTTATTGTTTTATGATTATTTTTTTGACATTGAGGGACTTTAAAAGATGTAAAATAACCAATCAAATAAAATTAATCAATAATTCCTCCTCCTCAAGTTATCTTTTTAATAATCTTCTTTTGTTTTTCAACAAGTTTAAGTACGTGTGATGCACGTTTGTCATGTCAATACAAAATATTGCCAATAACAGTAAAATAAATTCTAATCTAACTATAACTCTCATATCTAAGATCTATTTCCTATATAATTACCTCTCTCAAAATATTTTTTCAGTCTACAACTATTTTTTCTCATATCTACTACATCCAACCTCTCACGTCTCTTTATTGTCATATATGTATTTGAAGATTTTCTATGTTATTTTTATTGATATGATCATGTAAAAAACATTCATATTTTATAATTAATATAACATTCGTTTAGACTATCTAACCAAATCACAAATTTATTATCATATGAAAGACTGCAACAGAGTTATAAACTACCAGATGTGTATCTTAATGAATTCCGATTACGTTATGTATAAATATAGACTATCATATAAGCAAATTCAAATAAATAATTATAGTTATTAATAGTTTAGAGTTTAGGAAAAAAATTAATAAAATTCACAAATTATAGAGGTCTTTGTGTGTGTATATATATATATATATATATATATATATATATATATATATATATATATTCTTCTTCTCCCTAGAATAAAGAAATAAAAAAAAATGGAGGGACAAGGCGGGCAATAACAGAGTTTTACTATTCATTCTTTTTTTCACAATAATTTTTTGGAGCGGTATGTGGCATCAATAACTTAGTAAACGTGCAGTCGCAACCTTCTTTTACCAGACTCCCTCCAAGGCAACAATTGAGGTTTCGTGATGTGAAGACACTAGTCATACTCATGAATCATCTTACTAGAGAGGAAAAAGTTTATTATTTAATTTCAGCATA